TTTTTGTATATATGTGTGAACCGTTTTGAATAAAAGTGAAAATAATTTAAATTAATTTCATATATAAAGACAACAAAAATTCATATTTTGAGATAAAATAATTTTGCCCTATTATCCAGGATTCAATTTTATGAAGAAACTCCAATATTCCATTCAAGTTTTGTGGGTTTTGCCCAATATAATACATTTTGTGAAAAAATGCTAAATAAAATTGTTGTATGCTTAAAAAGTCTATTTGACATAATATCTCTTAGTTTCCTTTGGAGTTAAGCAACTTTTCTGTTGCTTACCTGACGCATTTAAGTTGTTTTTGTAAAATATTGTAGGAAAAAACAGAGGAATATATAAATTCAGGTCATTGTGTCTGTTGTGAAGACTAAAACGGGAACTACCTTAAGAACTAAAGCAACATCACAAACTTAAATGGTTTTACCGATTCACAAATCTTAATTATTTCTATGAGATAAAATGTAAAGATTGGAACATTGGATTCCCATTAATGGAATACAACGCCAATGGGTCCAGAATGAGTTGTGAAGTTTTTTCTTGTCACGTATAATATACTTTGACAAATTAAATTTTGTACCAAATTCCGTCACTTATTCAAAATTTCATTGTAACCAATCATATATATCGTGTTTGGTCTACAAAATACATGAAGTGGGCTCAAAATTTATATGGGAGCTTTATAAAAACCTGAACTGATTTCAATCTAATTTGGCAAATTTATTTTTGTACCGATTTCCATTACCCATTCTAATTCCGATCAATAGATATGTGCATTCAAAAACTACATTTTCTGGAGGTACCTCCGATTCTGAAGATATATCTCTAGTTATATAGCCTATGTTTCTTTCAGGCGATGCTGTAGTATATATGGAAATTTTCAGGAAAATTTGTTTAGCAGTTTTTGAGTCTATAAATTACAAATAAACATCATCGGTTTATACTACTCCCATGTAACCGCTCAACTCAATAATTATCATTAAGTAGTGCTTATAAACATTTACATGTCATTTGGAATTTCCGAGCTCATTTTTAAGGATTTCCTTTGGTCCACATCGAACTTACTTTGTCATTCAGTTTGTGACACAAATGCCCAAAGTATGTACAATACAATGTCGATTAAATTATGTCCGACATATTTACGCTGTGTCTTGAAACTTTGCACAGTCTTTCATATTATTACTAGGATGATAAACAAATATATATATTTTCATACGAAAGTTGTAGAACCACGTTTCGATAGTAACCCCATTTTAGTTACTTTAAATGTCTTAGCCGTTTCTTCCAACTGAAGGGATAACAACTGCACAATTTAGGAAAGGACACAATTTCACACTTACCTTCATATTCTACTCTAATTTGATTCTCTACACTCTTTCAATCCAAATTAAAAAAAAAAAAAAACAAGTAAGCAAAGGCTATAGTCGTGCGGGGACGACCATGTGATACCCTTCAACACTACAATGTTAGAAGCCCCCTTATGCCCAATTGGAAGATTTCGTTCTTGAAATAATGTCAATAATAATGTTCCTGTCCTGAAACCTCTTCTGATGCGAAATTCCGTGTCAATTAGTATTCTATTGTGGTCTATAGAGCGGCTACAAAATTATAAAAATTTAATTTTTTTAGTCCATTTGAACTTGAACTTGAATGTACATCTTAAGAATAATAGGCTTTAATTCAGACACCCCATGCAAAATGTCGTGAGGATCAGACGATAATTGGGACATGCATATAAAACGTAGTATTGAGATAAAATATATCTCAAAAATTGAACAAATGGAACAAAAGATATTCGCTATTTTATTTTCCGCGATTTTCTTGGATGTTATCCTTTTCTGGCAAGAGACCATTCCAAATTGATGGGAATTGTGTAATTCGGCCCAGCGGTTCTTGACTTAAAATCTATTCTTTAACATATATATTGTACCTACACAATATATATACCAAATCCCATTTCTTGGCTATCAGTATCACTTTAATGGTCAGAAGTGACCTTTTAATGTATTTGTGATTTGGCTGGGATTAAAAATATTCGCGGTTTAGTGGAAATATTTTCTTACAGAAAAAATAGGGTCTGTTTTACCCGCTAAATATTGTCCGATGACCGCCCAAATTCTAAATTCTAACTCCATGTCAATTTCCACGTCGATTAGTTCATAATTGCGGCCTACAGAGCAACTGAAAAATCAGGAAAATTCTATTCTGACCCTAATCTCGCCTCCATTTTCAATTTCGTGAGGTTCGGGCCATAATTGCGAACTGAAGCGTGATTACAAATGAACATGGACAGACAGACGGACATTTATAGCTATATCGACTCAGCTCGGCGAGATAGGAAGATATATATATATATATATATATATATATATATATATATATATATATATATATATATATATATATATATATATATATACATACATTTTTTGCGTTTTTTAAGGTTTTAACTTTTTCTGCCAAGAGGCCATTCCGAACTGTTGTGAGTTGTCAAAACATTCTAGCCCTTCTTTTCTTTTATATTTTAAATTAATAAAGATTTTGTAACATAGTTTACTTTAAATCGCCCTCAGAGTTGTAATGCAACTCATCTCTCAGCATAAGAACGCATGAATGAAAATTAAATTTAAAATGAATTATGCAAATTTTAAGTAGAAAAGATGAGCTTTCTTCTTCATTCTATTTCAGTACAAGTCTAAAAAAGGGGGAAAAATTTTTCGTCTGGGCTATAAGATGGAATTGTTGGTTTTCCTCGTGAACCCGAAAAGGCGAAACTCGCTTGGCGAAACTTGCTTGGAAGTCGTGATAGGTACCTCAAAACATGTATGGTGAACCTATATCCCTTTTTTTGTGGGAGAAATCGTGCCTGATAAAAACTCAAATTACAGCTGAATCAGTTGGAAATTGAGGCAGAAACCTCCGAAATAGCTTTCATTCACATAGAAGCTTTACCAAATAGGGAACTTGTGTCGAAACCCCGAAATGTTAAGTTACAACTCATTTTATTGGAAACTGTGCCAAATACCCACAAAATGCCGAAATGTCATATTGTAGCTAGTTCTGTTGTAAATTGTTGATGATATCCTCTAAATTCCAAAATCGGAAAACGCTCTTATAAAGGATAAAGTCGTTATACGATTGCTGTTGAATGTTGTGTATTATATGTCAATTTATATTTTTAAACACTACAAAATTTAAGTTTAATTTATCGGAATTCTTTTAAATTTGGTATTTGATGTTCGTAGTTGGTACTACAGCCTATGACAGAAAATTGTCTGTGCAGGTCCACGTTTTATAACCCCCATGGTACCTCCCAATATTCGGTATTTTGACGATTTTAGCTACATTATAAACAGATTTGTTTTTTTTTTTTTTAAGTTTCGAATTTGAATGTTGTAATAGCTTGTGACAAAAGTTGCTTATACCGGTCCACGTCGTCGTATAGACCCTAATATATGGCTACATTCGGTATTTTTAAGATTTTGACAGAATTTTTAACGGATTTTATTTATTTATTTATTACTAGCTGGCCCGGTCCGCGTTGCCGGCCCGTAGTTTTTGTCTATTATGCATATTTGTCAAAGCATAATTATTCACAGATATGACTGATATAAGTGTTCACGTACTGGTCGATTAATTTTTAATTTTTAATCAAATAAGTCTAAAATTTGTAGATATGTTGAAATTTTTGTGTAAGATTTGAAATATGGTAAAATCAGGAGGTTCCTTTATATGGGCCCTACTCCGAAACATCGACCTACATTGAAAACTTGTTCTACCCCTTATAATCAAAGATGACAAATAGAGGCCAAACAAAAACAAAAATATAGCAGAAAAACATAGCATGTCAAACTGAAAAAAAAAAAAAATTCACGTGATTTAAATAAGTAAAAATAGTTTTATTCAACTCATAATTGAGGGCAGACTGATTTCAGAATTGTCAAATATAATTACTATTTTACACCCATTACCGTAAGATGGGAACTAAATTTAATTGTCATTTAAATTGTAAATTGGATACACCATAAATCTATATTTTCATCATAGTATAATTCAATGACGATTCAACAAAAATTCGGTCCCGTGCTACTTTCTTATATTTGTAATTTGTTCATGTTTTCATAATTTATTTCATATAGATGTACATCCCAAATTTACGTTCCCAACCAATAGAATACAAAATTTTCTTTTCTGACCACACATTAGATGTGAAAGTGGACTTGGGGATACTCCAATGTGTGACTTTACTTACGTATGTGGCAATTATCTGTATGATGGCTCCTTACCCCAGGGTAGCATAAATACTTTTTTTAGCCTAATCAATTGATGAATGTGGTCAAGACCAATATGGGCCCTACTCCGAAAATTTTATACGAAGAGGTTCTCTACCCCCTTAGAAACAAAGATGCCAAATAAGTGCCAAAATATGAAAAAAGTGACCAAGACACCAAAAATAGTTTAAATCATACGATGGTTATATAAATATGAGATCGGGTTGTACCCTTATCCGTGAGTTATGATCGATATCATGACCTGCAAAAGCGATTAAAGGTATCTTCAATGTTTGGGAAGAATTTCTGGAAGGTTAGAAATCCTTTTCTTACTAAAAGTCCCATTCGCTCTACTATTTTGCACCCTTTAAATTTGGTATTTTATTGATTGTACTCCCAAAGAATTTTGCATTTTGAGCTCTCATTGGACGGATTATTGTCACATGAAAGAAGTAGGTCAACGCTTTGAAATGAGCCCCATTAGTCTTTTTCGGTCATTTTTGTTTGTTTAAATGTGTGCGCATCTTCCAGCTGAAGCACGATGTAGGCCCTGGAGTTTAAAGGTAGATGTCAGTTAATATCGTATTTCGCACTTATTTCATTTTTTTGTTCACAAAAAATCCACTGAATTCAATATGATATTACAAATTGAGAAAAATTGACAAAAGAAGAATAACAATTTGAAAAAATCTTCAACTTGTTCGCTTTTTCTTACAACAAATGTTTAAAGATCCTTACAGAGCTTGTCAATAGAATGTACTATTATTTTAAAATTCGATTCCATTGAATTTTTTTTTCGATTTTTTCCCGATTTGAGAATTTTTGCAATGAGATCTCTTTTTTCGTGATTTTTTAGCGATTTTGAAAAAGTAATTATCTTTTAACTTTGGCGTGATCGCGTTAAATTATTTCGATATTATCTATTCCGTCTCGCCACCACATAAATCGGTACTACACTTCCATGTAACCCGCCATCAATTTCAGTTCTCAAGAAATCAAGTCAATTAAATAAATTGGTATTAATATTCGAATTCAAAAATAAAATATAAAAAGCACTACAAATGTACATTAGAAAAAAAGTAAGTCAAAATGAAAAAAAAAAAAACATGCAAAATAAAACATTACTATTGTACATTTCAAAAGTCAAAATGAAAATGTTAATATATCACATTTTTACGCGATTTTTTTGTATATTATCCCTTTCGGATAGGAGACAATTCCGAATTTGTATGAATCATTAAAATCAGTTCAGCGGTTCTTAAGTTATAAACCTAGTAACTAACACAACTTTCTTTTATATATATAGATTTTTTTTTTTTTTTTTTTTTTTGAAATAAATTTGTACCAAATTGTGGAGGGTATTCAAAGTTCGGCCCGGCCGAACTTACAGCTTTTTTACTTGTTTCATATTATATTTACATATGTTTATTTCGCATTTAATCAACACAAAGACCCAGTCAAGCAAAAAAAAAATCATTTCAACAGGAGCATGCCAAACAAATGTGGCAATTTCAAAAAACTATTTATTTAACGACTGGCAGGGAATAGCTTATTATTTCAAGGAACAGATATGTTAAATATTTGGAGTGGTGTAGGTTATCATAAATTCGGCGCGTTCGATTTTTGTTCTTGTCATATATTTTCATTACCGCCCAATTTTTTTTTGCATTTTAGGTATCGAAAATCCTAATTGCCCCTAGTGGCATTAAAATAGTGTAATATGTGCACATATTCATAGGCATACATTGTTTAGATTTAGCTCAACGATAGCTGACAATAAGAAAATTTATGTGGACTATTGCAGTGATATACAAATATAAAATAGGTACTCTTAATTAGATGTTGTAAAGTTTAAACATACACTCTAACGATTGTTTCTCTTATTCTCTGTCATGAAACATCGAATAACAGACATATGCGGATAGTTTCAAGAATTGTTTCTCTATTTCGTTCTTTAGCTAATTTCGACCCAAATTTCTCTTCAGAATTTCTCTTTCATCATTTTTCCCTTCTACGGAGTAATATATAACAGTGCTCTTTAAACATTAAAGTTAAGAGAGTGTAACCAAGCCAACTATGCATACGACTATTCTCATCCTTAAAAGATGTAAAACTACCACCAATCTGAAACCCATGCTGATGCTGATTTACAGTGTGAGGGTAGGTGTAGGCTTGTTTATTATGTCTTACCAGCCCAAATTTTTGCCTTGTACATTTGTGTGAGTAACTTTCGGCAGTTACCTGAATAAGTGTGAGTGTTCGGTAGTCAGCAAACAAATCAAGCAGCCTTCGCTTACATACCCTAAAGGTTTTAGCGTCCAACCAGAAAACTAAGCTTCAGTCGAAAACTACCGTCTGTGGCTGCGCAAGGGCATTTCGGTCTCGGGTCGTATCGTCGTCATCGCATCGCATGTGTCTGCTGTGTTTTTGAATCAGTGAAATAAAATCAAACGATACATAACAAAAACAGCAACTGAAAATAAAACAATCAACCAAAAATAGTACTGTAAAGACTGACTAAAAGCCCTCTTGGCATAAGTAAGGAATACGTCGCAATCTTACTTGTCACGAGACCAAAATAAACAAATTCGTGTATTCCTCTATAATATGCCGAAGGAAATGAAGCTGACATAAAATAATAACATAAACAAAAAATATTAACTCACACCCGCTTTCAATTAACCTTGAAAAGGACTCACAAACGCATAGAAAAAAGAATTCGAAATTATACGTAGTAAAAAATCAAAATTTTTATTTGTTTAACTACGGCCCCAGTATACACGAAGTTGCCTTAAACATTTTCAATTTCCGTCACAATTAGTAAATGAAACAAAATATATGCAACCATAACATTTTAGTTAACCAAAACAAAGAGAGTACCTGTTAATTCTGCTCCTACCAAGTTCAAATAGGAAACCTAAAACAGTAAAAACTTACGTCTTCTAATCCAGTTCGGGTCGCTTAAACCGTTTAGATTGTGACCAAAACAAAAAGAATGTGTCATTGTGATATTTTACATTCGTAAATAAAAATATACAATTGTATTCATATACACACACCATTGTATATATTTTTTAAATAATTAAATCAGCAAACCGGTTTAGTTGCTATCATAGTCTTATAGCAAATAGTTTGAAGATAGCAACAACAGTGCAACATATCAGTATCAATGCACATCCTACACAGAAGCAATGATCATCAATTCGAAGATCAAAAATTTATGATGGTAAGTGAAGGAAGTACACCAACGAAGTTGAGAAGTACACAGACAAACGAACCAAATTATTCCGCGCAAACGTTTTTCATCTGCGATCAAATTGCCATTTCCCGTCGGTACGTCATGAGTTCACGTTAAAATCTACACGTGATATTTAAATAATAATGTTTATTTTGCATTACTTCCCAGACATAAGTTGTAATTAGGAACGATTTCACAAATGATGAATTAAAGGGCATATTAAGTTTACTTTGTTTAAAAAAATCGTACAAAATTCGATTACAATATTTAAGATTTATTTACACAGAAATTAATTAGAACGGGGATGATTGTATTAAAAGTAAGCGAACTCTTGATTAAGTCCATGTTCAAACCACTCTCACTCTCCAGCCAAATTGTCTCAAATAAATAACGGCTTTGCACACTTTTTATACCCTCCACCATACTGTGGAGGGTATATTAACTTTGTCATTCCGTTTGTAACTCCTCGAAATACTCATGTCAGACACAACAAAGTATATATATTCTTGATCAGCGTAAAATTCTAAGTCGATTTAGCGATGTCCGTCTGTCTGTCTGTCCGTCTGTCTGTTGTAATCACGCTATCTTTCGAATGAATTGAGATACAAGGCTAACATTTTGCACACAGGTTTATTTTTACAGTAGGCAGGTTAAGTTCGTAAATGGGCCATGTAGGTCCACGTTTTCATATAGCCCCCTTATAACGGTACCTCCCGATATTCGATATTTTGATGATTTTAGCGACATTATTCACAGGAATTGTTTCAAATTTGGTATTTGAAGTTCGAAATGGATACTACAGCCTAAGACAGAAAATTGTCTGTGCAGGTCCACGTCTTCGTATAGCCTCCCGATATTTTTCCTCCCGATATTTTTTATTTTCATGATTTTAGCGACATTATTAATCGGAATTGTTCAAAATTCATTATTCACAGGAATTGTTTCAAATTTGGTATTTGAAGTTCACAATGGATACTACAGCCTAAGACAGAAAATTGTCTGTTCAGGTCTACGTCTTCGTATATCCCCCATATAACGGTACCTCCCTATATTCGGTATTTTGGTGATTTTAGCGTCTTTATTTACCAAATTTTTTTCAAATTACGCATTTAGAGTTCGTAATGGAAACTCCAGTCTGTGACAAAAAATTGTCTATGCAGGTCTAGGTCTTCGTATAGGCCCCATATACCAGCACCTCCCTATATTCGGTATTTTGACGAGTTTAGGTACAATACTCACCGAAGTTGTTTGAAATGTCGTATTTGAAGTTCGTAATGGATGCTACAGAATATGACAAAAAATTGTCTACGCAGGTTCAGGTCTTCGCACAGCTCCGATATAACGGTACCTCCCTATATTCTATACTTTGATGATTTTAGCTACATTATTCGCGTTTATTTCAAGTTCCGAATTTGAATTTGGTAATGACTCATGACAAATAATGCCTGTGTGGGTCCACGTCGTATAGGCACCAATACAACGGCAATATTCGGTATTTTTAAAATTTTACCAAAATTTTTTCAGGATTTTATTTCCAAATTCGTTCCAAATGGTGGAGGGTATTCAAAGTTCGGCCCGGCCGAACTTACTGCTTTTTAACTTGTTAATATTGGAACATTTTAAGGCTATATAAGAGTCCATCGATCTATGTATGGAATTCAAGAAGTAATAAATTCCAACAAGGTTAAAAGAAATACCAAAATATTTAAAGCTTCGAACATGAAATTGCAAAAAATGTGTCTGTCTTGTGTCTGCCTGAAATACCACAATGACACCTATCCATGTCTATATATTTTTGTATTGTGTGTCATTATGTTTTATTGTTTGCATTTTTGTTGATTATATACTCGAAAACGGATAAACCAATTTTCCTGAATTTTTAAATTTTATTCAGGAATCTATTATGGAATTTAGACTAATAATTTGAAGTTCGAAGTGGGCGTGATACCTTCCAAAAAACCCTTTCTCTTTTCCTTTCCAAACTAATGACCATATCTATTCAAGAATTTGCATACGATACTGTGGAACTTTTACAATGGATCGATCATTTCATTTAGGTCGTGAATGGACCGACTATGAGCTTTCAACATAGTTTTCTCAATCTTTACATGGTTCATAAACAACCACGTTCAGTTTTAGAAGCCAAGGACAATTTATTTAGTCGGGAATGTTTTCATAATTTTGGGTATGGACAAGATACTACGTAATCCTAATGGGTTTGATGAGTAGAATTACCGACCTCGTTCACAGTTTAAAACCCTTATAAGAAACAAATGGACGTATTAGTGGAGATGAACACAACAATGTCCTACGGTCTTTATTGTGTCTATCCATAAATTTGCTTAGGTAATAAAGATTTGGGAATGGAAGAACGTTTCCAAGACATTAGAAAACGGAAGGAATTTGGAGCATCAGAAAATAAAAAAAAAAAACAACCACAAACACGCCTTTATCTAACAGCAAGAACATGTTAGATGCACGAGCACCAAAAACTCATGAACAATAAAAATGCGTCTAGGAAGCAACAAAACGCGGAACTGGGCCAGCTAGTCAATTATATATTTAAATATGTTATTGCTTACAATATTTTAATAGTGAGACGCATAAAATTTAAATATTCTTTTGTCGGTGGTTCACAGACTCTTAAAAGGAAGACACTCTTCTGCTGTGGCGGATAAGCCATATTTTGAAACGATTTTGCCACGGTAGACATTAAAATATTCCGTGTACAATAAAACAAATGTTTGTTTCTTAATTTCTACCATAACTTACTCCTCTTTCCTAGTTAATTTAGAATTAATTTATATATTACTTAATTTATTTATAGCACCTTTAACATTTTAACGAGTAATTAGTTGTCATTTGTTTGCCGCCTCCTTTAGACATCAATAAGTATCTCGTTGTCATTCAGACAGACAACACGATATTAACTATTATTCGATATTCTTCACATTTCTACTCCAGAGTTCTTGTTATGTATTGTTGCTAAATTAGTGTCGAAAATAATGTAGACTTTCTATCATCAAAATAGTGAAACCAATATATTAAACGGAAAATATAAAGTACTAGCTGAACCCGACGCGCTTCGCTACTCCTTTCGCTTTTATATGCATTCAAAATTTTATATATTATTCATATATTTGGTCTTTTTGTTGGTTAAAAAATATAAATAAAACAAATTCAAAAAATTTAAAACCGTTATTATTATAACGCGTGAACATACCAGGAACAGCTGACCATGAGAAAAGCAGGAACATGCTTTGGATTTATTAATTTCATAGCAAATGCCAAGCGTGCCGGAAACTGCAATCTTTTTAATTGAAAGGCATTACTGTTGAAATTAGAGAATTCGAGGTAGCAACATACTTGCCAGTAATAATCATACCCTCAATTAAATTTTTGTATAGTTTTTACACTCTCCACCATAGTATGGAGTGTATATTAAGTTTGTCATTCCGTTTGCAAAACCTCGAAATATACATTATAGACCCCACAAAATATGTATTCTTGATCAGCATAAAATTCTATGTCGCCTTAGCGTCTGTGGAAATCGCTCTAGCTTCCGAACGAAATAAAGTAGGTTGATAAAATTTTACTCAAATGTATATTATGTCTGCAGAACATAATATAATATAAAATGGATCATGTAGGTTCACGTTTTGGTACAGCCCCCATATAATGGTACCTCCCGATATTCGGTACTTTGATGATTTTATAGACATTATTCGCCGGAATTGGTTCAAATTTGGTATTTGAAGTTCGTAATGCATACTACAGCCTATGACAGAAGATTTTCTGTGGAGGTTCACTTCTTCGTATACATTCGGTATTTTTAAGATCCAGAGTCTTCTTTTTGATTGATTGATTTGATTGACGCGTCGAAATTCCTAGATCGATAAAATCTTGGTACTGAAAATGCATTGAACTTATGCGATTTTGTTTGAGCTACGCTCTTTTTGTCAGTTATCGGACTATATGGATTGCAAAATAATGATTGTTGAGTAATTTAGACAAAATTGATTTGTATTCGCTTTTTAAATCTTCTTCATATTCCAGTCTCGAATTGTGGTGGGAATTTTTGGTGCTCCGGTTAACGTAAATTAAGAATGAAACAAAAAATGGATGAATTTGTGTGTTTGGCATCTTGCAGACAAAATTCCACCGCACGCAAGGCACTATGTATGTGTGTCGGAATCGGCGTGCACATATAAATAAGTCTGTGACTGAATGTGGCTAATTCTCATAAATTATTTTTTGGCAACGCATCATGCAACATTTTTCGATGACTTTTTCTACAAATCTGACGATGTTGGTGTGCTACGTAGTAATCATTTTGTGGGCGATGACTTCTGATTATTTTCTGCTCCGTTTTTTTTTTTTGTGCAGTTGTGACTTAGGTTACCGTTTCCCATCGTATTGATTTCTCCGAGTTCAGTCCGAAAGTAGGCTAAACGAAAATTATATGGAGTGGTTGATGTGCTCTCTGACCGAAGTCTGAAGTTTTGCCACATTTTCAGAACAAAGGTAGTAGTATTCTGAGGGATATTCCCGGGAAGTTCTGAAGGCAATCTTATTTGCCCAATATGCAGGTAATTGCGACTTTGATCCTAAATCGACCAACACATCTATGTATTCTATGTGGGGCACATATATATTATATTTATCTTAAAAAAATATTTTTTTTTCCGTTGGGCCCGCTGTAATGGTCGTGGAAGTCATTTCTGGCTACGTTGGTTAGCCAGTTTATACATTTATTGATGGAAAAGATTTCACAAATCTATATATTAGAGCTCATCCCGTCGAGAGTGGAAGAAATATGCAAAATGTTCAGTGTCAGGTAGTGAAATTACATAAATGATATAGCTGAACGACGACTGACATGCCTCCATCAATATCAATCATCGTAAGTATAATGTATAACGGCTGTGCAAAGTTTCAAATATATCTTTTAAATAATGTCATGATTCCAAGGGACGTGCGGTCAGGCA